CTCCCCCTCCTCCTCTTCGCTCTCTTCCTCCTCCTCCTCTTCATCCTCTTTATCTTCTTCATCCTTGTTAATCTGTAAGTAACAATTCATAGTTCTCTTTGCTGTTAGCTACTATGTGTAATCAATCACGTAGATTAGTCTTCTTCAAATATTTTTTGATATTTCAAATACCATTTGGAAAAACACACCTCAGAAGTGACAGTGACCTCGCTCCTGCTCCTTTCAGTGGTGACATCCCCTCTCCCGAGGTCCCCAGCCTTCCCATTCAGTTTGATTCTCTCCCGGAGGAACTACTCAAAATTGGCAGCATCCATGATTCCATCTTCTACAGGGTGGGTACAGTCAAGGCTGAACACCAAAACCTGCTTCTTCTCTTTGAACCCTTCACCATGAGCTTCTTCACGCACGCCATGATGGCAGCAGAGGCCAGAGATTTTTAATGTTTCTCAACCAGGTTAACAGAATTTTGTCCTTATCATCTAGTTTGGGAGGTTTGTTTCCAAAAAAAGATGCTGTTTGTGAAGGAGGAAAGAAAAGTTACACAGGATCAGATGGTAAAAGGCAAACCTTGAAGCCAATATGATAGGGCAGGAAGCAGCGCTCCATGTGGGAGAGCACAAGGTGGTGGAAATAATCAAGACTGCCAAGGGTTGGAGATGCAGCTCAGTCCTCCAGTGAATGCCTAGTGTGAGAGTGTACAGACCTGTGGTTTCAATTCCTGGAGCAAGGGGAGGGGAAAGTGTCAAGACCCAGGAGATGGAAGAAGATGGGGAAGAGAGATTCTCTTAGAATGGGGAAAGCATGGAGACACGTCGAAGACAGAGATTTCTAGCATCATTATGTCATTATGAACCCTCCGTTTTCCAAGAGGCACTGACTTACTGATGCCCCATTAGGATTCCTGTGTTGTGACCACGGCAGGTGGCAGCTCCTGGAGCCAGTGGCACTGCTGGGGCTGCCAACATCTGCATTCTGTCAGCCTCCAGCATGGGTAGATGAAGAGAGAATAGATTTCCAAATAAGCCTAAGTGCTTCTCGCTCTGCCCTCTGCTGTGCCTGTCCTTAACTGTGCTTGTTTCTTCCTTCCTTCCCTAGGTCGGTGGCTGGATTGGATAAGGAAGCGGACCTGGTACACATGGAAGTGCGAACTGCAGATGGATGTGAGTGGTGCTCTGAGACAGGCTAGGCCCAGAGATATACCTGTAGTCTCTATCCTCCCCTGATTTGCATTTTAATGGCTTGGGAAGATGAAAAGCCCTGAGTTCCATTAGTGCCATATCCATCCTTATTTCCCAGAGCGGAAGAAGAGACTTTAGGTCCCAGGGGAGACATTTTTTTTTTGAAATAAGCCTTCAGGAATGAATTTTCTGAGGGTGTGAGTTAATGTGATGAATTTTGAGACTCTTGTTATTAATTTCCTTAGTACCTTCACTGTAATTCGAATACTGGCCCACATAGCTCATCACGGCATTTTACATTCAAGTGGTAAATTGCAGGGACCACTTGCTTTAATAAATGAACCCTGTGCTTGATCAGGCTCCCTAGAAAAACGAACTGGGCAATTATTTGCAAAAATGCATTCATTTATTGGGGAGATATTTAGGGATAGCCTGCTATGTGCCAAGCTTTGTTCTTGACCTTAGAGATGCAGTGGTGTTATATTGATCCTGTAGACAAAAGGTTCTCTTCTACCAACAAAGCTCTAAGTCATCAAACATATAACCTTCTTTGCTGTTTCTTTCATTTATTCTTTGAGAATCGCATGCATGTATGCAGTGGTATGTGATCATATCTATCCTATATTTCTTTCCCTGTGTTCTTCCCAAATTTCCCCCAAACATGTCCCTCTCCCAGTCTGATACCTTCTTTTTCCTTTTCTGTTTCTTTTTCTTTAATAACCTACTGCATCCAATTATTGATGTGCACTGTATGTACTTAAATGTGGGCTGACCACTGGAGCATGGACAATCTACCAGCAATTACACCCACACAGAAAAAGATTTTTTCCTTCCCCAGCTGCTATCCTCAGTAAGTGGTAGAGCCTCAAGAATCCTCCTTCCCCTCTACCACTAAGGCTCAGGAGACATCTTGGAAGAGGAGGCAGAAAGAATGTAAGAGCAGGAGGATAGGGAGGGATGCTGTAAATGCTTTCTTCTGGACCTGACATGGCTAAGGAATTCATAGCAGCTGTGGTTACCACACAAGGTTTGAAGAAGGTCAAGACAACCAAAATGCAATCTCCTTTGTATCTTGTGTGACTGTATCCCTCTCACACACATTTTGCATTGCACCACTTGTAACATTTGACTTTCTAGAACTGATCCTACCTGTAGGACTCTTTGTTATCAAAGGAAAACTAACATAAATTTAGATGAAATATATTTTATTCTAATACGTAGAAGCTACTGCATTGACAACAGAACCACATAATCTAATAGAGTTAACTTAGAAGCACAATGGAGCAAGCACCTGCCTGTGAGTTGGGTGCAGGGCTCCACGACCCTCTTGACATGAAAGCAGGAAAGTACAATTCTTCACTTCTCTGTCTACAGTGTCCTCTCAAATTTGAGAATATTCTCCATGCCCTGTTCACCTCAGAAGGTCCTGGGGGTAACCAAATAGTACAGGAACGCTACAGAAGCTCTAACGTGTACAAATCTTGTAAGCAGATTCTGTTTTGACCTGCTGTACCATCCAGAATACATTAAGTGAAACTGCATGTGCTTTCTTTAGGGGAGATCTATGAGGTTGACCACAGATGCGTGCCAGAAAATGCACATTTCAGTGAATGTGTTTTATTTGCTTTATTTTTTCTTTTAGAAGGCAATCTGCATTTGTTAATAGATGTCTTGTATTCTGCCTGCCTCCTCCCCTCCTCCCTTTTCCATTTCCTCTAACCCTCATTTTGCTCTCCTGTCCTTCCTCTCCTCTCTTCTCCTCTCTCTCCCCCCTTTCTCCCTCCCTCCCTCTTCCCCTTCCCCCCATATATTTAATCCTTGACTAAGTATATAATCTCTGAGTAATAGTTAATACACACTGGTTTTTTTTGGCTTTTTTTTTCAATGAAAGATTTCTTTGAGACTTAGAGTCATTGATCATGAGAGTGGTCAGCATTGGATTTCCAGTTGTGTGATCTGACTCTTGATGCCAAGACAGAAAGCAGGAGCAGAAGGGGTAGTAGAGTTTGAAGAAACACAGCAAAACAGCAGGAGAGAGCCCGATGCTGGTCTTAGAAAATGACCCATAGGCCAGTTTCCAGTATACCAGTTTTGGCTTGTTTTTGTGTCAAACTTTTTAAGTCACACACACACACACACACACACACACACACACACATATGATAAATGGTAGTCTTAGTGCTTTGAAGTTAGATCAAACTATACAGGATAGTTTAACCTCCTACCTAGTATAGGGATTTTGTCTCCATAGTCTTTGACTCTGCATTCTCAGAATCACCAATCCAGGCCAAAGACACATCCTTTTCTACTCTGGGCAGCAACTTTATATTTATCTCATTAAATAGTTTCTTATACTAAGTGTAATTTTATTTTCTGAAATATGTAGAATTCTGGTGAAATAGGATAATTCCTGTGGTATAATCTTGCTGTCAAATAATTATATGAGATGGCACACGCCTTTAATCCCAGCACTCGGGAAGCAGAGGCAGGTGGTCTCCATAATGAATCCAGGACAGCTGGGGCTACAGGGAGACCCTGTCTCAAAAACAACCAAAAAAACAAAAAAACAAAACACATAGAACACTCCCATCTCATATCTATAGTTAGAATTCAAGAGCTTAAAAAAAAGAAAACAGGCTAAAACATAACAGAAAAATTATCCATAAACTGCACTTAACATTAAAATATAATATATATTAGTACTGATCCTTTTTAAAATCATGTTTTTAATATTAAAAAGAATCTTCAAAACCTACTGAACTGCCTGCCACTCTGTTCTATTTGGAGAGTTCATATAAATAAGAGTAGTAAATGGTGTTTTATTTTACACAGCCTGATGAAATGCATGCTACCTTCCCTTTATGGTATGCAGCAAATAGTTCCTTACACTCATGTACTTTCATGTATACAGCACCTCCATATTTTATCATAGACACTTATGGTATACATTTTATTTTTCTCTTTTTCTAACATGTTAGTTTTAGTCCAAATTTGCCTAAATTCACACAGTTAGGTAGTTATAAGAGACAAAGCCACCGCAAAACCTTCTCAACAGAGTAAGAATTGAGCAGAATTCCTGTTAAAAAAAAACTACATCATAGCTAACGGTAAAATATTGAAAAGAAGGAAAAAGCTAGCGAAATTCACTCTCACCACTGCTGTTTAACACCACGCTGAAAATTTTAGCCATTACAATAAAGTGAGAAAACCAAAATGAAACTTATACAGATCTCTCATCAAGATGACTGTGTAGAAAACCTATGCCACCTATGCATGAAATTCCTAGTATTCACAAGTGAGTTTAACAAAGTTGTAGCCCATAAGATTCATTGGAAAATGGATATTAACTGGTGTTGGAACGGTTAGGGTGCCAAGTCTTTAACTCAAAATGAATCGTAGATCTATGTGTAAAGCCTAAAATTATGAAACTTTCAGAAGTCAGTCTAAGAAATACCTTCATAATCTTACATGGACAAAGAGTTCAATATAGATATGTAACATGGAGAACAAAATAGATGAAACAATTGGAAAGTTAGGTTTCATCAAAATTAAAAATGTGTTCACTTAAAATGAACCAGTATAACAGAAAATATCTACAAATTACATACTCAGCAAAGGATTTGTAACTAGAATATATAAAGAACTCTCAAAACATAGCAATAACAAACAAACCACCCCTTGAAAAACCTAAATATCCTTTTTGGAAAAAAGATGGACAGAAGTCTAAACAGACCATTTATCAACGAAGACAAATACAGATAATAAGTAAGCATGTAAAACAATGCTTAACATCTTTAAACAGTAGGGAAATATCAATTAATTTCATAGAATATATAACTGCATATGAAAACTCTTGGAATCACTAAAATAAAACTAATACAAGATGCTGGCAAGGATGCAAAACTGGAATAAGAACTGGTTCAACCATTTGGGAAAAATACTTTGGCTATATTTTACAACGTTTAGACATCTTATGATTCAGCAACCCCACTTCCATACATTTAACCTATAAAACTAAACCAAAAAATATATGGTCCCCCAAAAGTCCTGTACAAATATGTCTGTAGCAAATTAATAATTATCACCCAAACTGGAAACAGCCTAATTATTCTTCAATGATGAATGGATTTTGTGGATGAGGCTCATCCATAAAATAGGCTACTATTCAGTACTATTGATATTTCAATAACACTGATTGATTTCAAAGGCATTACATTGAGTGAATAAACTACTCTTAAATGGTTACATGTTGTATAAATTCCATTTATATGGTCTGATGTTACTGTAGATTTATAGGGATAGAGAATATATTAGTGGTTTAGAGGGTGTTGGAAATATTTTATAAGAAAGTCTTTCATGAGAGTAATTTTTCTCCTTGTTTAACTTTTGTTAGGCCTGAATGAACTGGTGGCTCTGTGTGTGTGTGTGTGTGTGTGTGTGTGTGTGTGTGTGTGTGCACGTGCGCATGTACTCTCTCACACACATATGTTCAAATATAGATTTGATTCCAAAAGTCCACCATTTTTCTGTTTTTTTGTCTGGGTGTACGCGTGGCTCTGTGTGTGTGTGTGTGTGTGTGTGTGTGTGTGTGTGTGTGTGCACGTGCGCATGTACTCTCTCACACACATATGTTCAAATATAGATTTGATTCCAAAAGTCCACCATGTGTGTTAGCTACTTTTCTGTTGCTGTGATAAAACACTGACCAAAAACCACTTAAGGGAACGTTCATGTTGACTTAATATTCCAGAGGGATAGAACCCGTCTTTATGGGGGCATCGTGACATGGCTGCAGGAGCCAGAAGTTGGCTGATCACATTTCATCTGCACATAGGAAGCAGAAAATGAGAGAGAAGAATGTTGGGTGTGGATATAAACTCTCAAAGTCCTCCTTCACATCCTCCAATAAGGTTCAGCCTCCCAAGATTCCCAAACCTCCTGAAACAGTGCCAACAGTGTTCAAATACATGATCCTATGAAGG